TCCAGTATGCAACTAGGCGACATTCTTACTAAAGCCGTATCAAGAAAGAAGCTAGAGGCGGATCTGTCCAAGTTGGGAATGATGAACATATACTCCCAACTTGAGGGGGAGTGTAGAGAACATTGATGTGGGCCCCACAGCTGTGGTCCCACTCTGCCCGTAGGGTAGAATGTATCTAGTCACAGCTGTGGTTATTTTTCTGTTCTGTTATTTCTAGTTTCAGTTTTATATTGGTTGTTATTTGTTAGCAGTTATGATGTAAACACCAAGGGCAGATATGTCATTTCATGTAACTAGCATAACCTATATATATTAACTTAAAGTGGCGGCGGCAGAACATTGACATTCTGTTCTCAAAATCTGTGTTCTCTTGCTCTTCCATCACTCTTTCTTCTACATCTTCTTCACTTTCTCTTCTCATCGAACCTGAAATCTCTTAGTGATCAAGACTGAATAGCAGTCTTGAAAACCTACAATTATTTTCATTTCAGCCCTGCAAGGGCCTCCTTGTAAATTCTCTAAATTGTGTTGCCCTTGGAGTAGGGTCGAAGCATCCATTCTTCATCCCAGAATTTTGTATTCTGCTCTGGGTCTATTGACAGAAAACCCAACCAATGACATTTCTAAAATCACCTTCCACCAGCATCGGTCTAGAACCAAGAGATTTGGCAAACCTTAGACTAAGAGAAGGGCTCTTGTTTCAGCTTCTCAAGAGTCTGCCAAGCTAATCGGCCCACTGAAAACCCAAGCAGTTTACTATGCATGAAAGCTCAACTTGCATTTAGGTCACTGAAGCAAAAAATCAGTAACATTACTTTTTTTGGGAGGGGGGGACCACTGCCAGAAAAATCTTTGAGGATAGACTGCCACAAATTTCTTGCAATAACACAATTGATGAGAAGATGGCTCACTGATTCACCATCACTCAAGCACAACATAGACACATGAGGTGAGAAATAAAGAGTACCGCTTCTTTTCCTTCAAATCAGATCACAAGTATTAATTCTACCACAAGCCGCCTCCCAAAAGAAAAAGGACATTGTCATGGGAACAGACGATGCCCAGAGTCTTTTCACCTGAAGGGGGATGTTCATGGGCCCAGCAACAAGATGGAGATAAAAACGATTTTGTGGTGAGGTAAGGGACCAGACTATTTTGTCTGGGATGGAAGAAGACAAAAGGACATCATTTAAAGCAGCCAAAAGATGGGAAATCTCAGTAGCTTCCCAGTCATTCAAGGCTCTATGAAACTAGAAATTAAAGGACAGGCATTGGTTTGCTCTAGTAAGGACCAAAGAAATCAAGGCTTCTTTGTTTTGGAAAATTTGAAAAAAGACTAGGATAGACTTGACACAAGGGTTAGACATTGTTCCACAAATTAGAAGCTCTAATCTTACCTTAAATTTCTGCGCTAAGATGATTGTGCCAGGAATTTTAGTGAGTCAATTAAAATACAGCCTACCATTTGGAGTTGCACTACTTCAGAAGTTCAAGTAAAAATGAAGCATCCACAATAATGGGAAAAGCATATTAAATATAACATAAACATGAGGAAAATCCATTAACTTGTCAAATATTAACATGTACATGGAAAATTCTAACTGAAGAACCATGATATATGCATCAACTTCCTTTCATAATAATCATACAAAGAACTCCTTTGGATACGACTCTAACAGCAGCTGAAACCTATACCTCAGATAAATGAGGGTAAAGACCATTAATGCAACCCTCAGCTATGGCACCAATAGCTAGAACAGCAGCTTCCCTATCCTTCCAGGTGTTGTCATCTGCAGTAGCTAGCTTAGCCTGAACAAGAGGCATCAGTGTTGGAAGAATCTCATCTCCAAACACGTTTGAAAGGATATCTAGGGCAGCTGCACTGCATTTCCTCAGATTCCAAATGTTGACAATGTCATCATCCTGGAAATGACAAATCACATAATGACCAAATAAAAGCAAATCAATATCATGAACCAACGATTATGCTTACAGCTAATAAAGCATAAAAACAAATTATTGATCACCCATTTCAAACAGTTGTCCAAACAACCATAATGCAAATTTAATTACAATAAGCAATATGAATAAGGTTGGATCCAATGAATGAGAAGGTAGGTGCTTATCAGAAACAATAAAAGGAATGAGAAGGTATCAAGGTAGGCTAAAGATCATACATCATCCTCCATGTTATCTGCCCCATGAAATCTTGATGAATGAAAACGAGGCTTCAGATCCTACAACAAATGGATTTTCTTATCAGCATATAGTCATTGAGGAATGAATTTAAACCCAAAGACACAGGAATTCATTAACAAAAATACTGACCTGATCTCTATCAGGGAAAGACTCATCTTCCTGCATATGTAATAGGGATTACTAAAATGGCTTTCTACAACTGTCTTTTCAGAAAGATTTAGGAACAATAAAAATGACCCTTTAAAACAATAAAACTTACTTCCGCATCAACCAGTGATTCATCATCATCAGCATAAACCATGTTTGACAACAGAACCTACACATGTGGTTATGAACAATGTAAAAATAACTCCAGAAATTTAAAAAAAAAGGCCAGTTTTTTTCAGAAACCAGCACAGGAGGCGAGAAATACTGGAATTAGACGTGGTAGAAACTCTCCTAAGCATTCTGTCTGGAATTGAGCATCGCAGTATGCTGACCTGGAATAAAAGAAGGCAAATTTTTCATAGTAACAAAAACCAGCTTGATAGCCTTCAAAATCGTCCTAGTTGAAACTATGTCTACATAAACTAGAAAATCAGTTTGTTAGTTTGGGCAGAACAAATGCAAATTATTTTGTATCTCCTTTTCCTAATCAGACAGGAGAAATGAGAAAACTGAACTGCCAGATCTTAACAAATGGTGCAAAACTGAACGACCAGATTTAAGCAAGTAAACAGTGCAGATTTGGTGGAAAATTTTTGGGAGGTTGTTGAGATTCCAGCTTGTAATGTAAACTCATGTCTTAGTGACTAACTGGTGTGGTGTGGGACCTTGACACCCAATCAGCTTGAATCTTTCCCTTTTATTTTAATAAAATTTCTTCTTTACTCTTCAAAAAAAAAAGAAACAAATGGTGCAAAACCATATGGAACGAACCTAATCATCTATTTGTTCCAGAACTCAAAGCCTATACCTTTTCTAGAAAAAGGGTAACAGTATAGATCATATTAATTACATAGGCAAAAAATAGTGTACACAAGGGGTTGAAGTGTAGGAAAGAGCTATTTTCACCTGGACGACAAGGCTATTTACCACTGAATTCAAGTATCATCGCCTCAATCCATTCTTACTTGATGCTTATAAGAAACATGTGCTCTCTTTAAGGTAGCATCCCATGGCCAGTCCTGACACTTTTGACATCATGTCAGTCATGTGTCCCTTCAATGGCAAATTAAGTAATATGTTACATTTTGGAAACCCTAGTACCAGTAGGAACACAAGAGCCTCATATTTAGTAAAGTCCATATCCCAAATTGACCCCCTAGACAACCAAAAATATATTGTTATCAGTCACCCACTAATTCCAACTTGCAGATGTTACCTAGAGAGCTGTCAGAAAATTGAAGCTTCATCTCACCAAGAGAAGAGAGAAAGGGGAGAAGCCAACACAAGGTAATGAAACTAAAGAAGATGGTGCAGGATCCTATCTATCATCTTTGATAAATTTTATATTTTGGAGGACTATCTAGATTCTAATTATGTGAAATATCCCTTAAATTAGCATATGTAGTTTAAATGAGACTCCGTAACATTAAATTCTTTCAATATATAATGAAGAAGTTACATCTATTACCCACAACAGGAGGAGCTTGACACCCTTTTAGTGGACTTCTTTTTCCCATCCACTTATACCTGTTACTTTCATCTTATCTCCAATACTATCCCCCTTTTCTCCCCCCCAACTGCTGATAAGCCTATACCCATCCAATCCAGACTCCAATAGCATGTGTCTCACTGCTAATTAGATGCAAGAAAGGCAGAAAATACAAAGGCAAGGCAGGAAAAGCCACCAACAGAAAAGGACAGCAGCTCTCAGAAGGAGAACAGACCAATCCTACATCAGCAAAGAACCCCAGCTCAAGCCACCAATAGAAAAGGATGCCTAGCCTAGGCATCCATCTAAACAAGATGTTCCTCCTCGAAGGAACCCTAGAACTTCTCTAATATTATAACTAGGCTCCAAACCCCAAGAGGACATCATCCAGTTAATCATTGTGAATAGTCACCTTATGCTTCAAAATACTCATAGACAAAGGACGGAGATAACCTGAGGACCTGAAGAACCACAACTTACGGTTGCGAACTTCAGAAGTACATAACGCTGAAAGATAACCTCTTCTCTATCATCTCTGAACAGTGATTTAAAAGGCGTGCCTAGGCGCACAGGCGAGGCGCATTTTAGGGTAGGCACCTCGCCTGGGTCCTAGGTGCAGCCCTTTCAAAAGGTGCATGCCTGGTGCGCCTAATGTGCCTTGCGCCTCAGCCCAGGCATGCTCCGAGAACCCCTATTTGGTAAAGTTGTTCATTCATTCATCCTACTAAAATATCTTCTTAAAAAGAAATTAAAATTATAAAATCATTATTTTTTGTGCGAGAACTAAGAATTTAGGACCCTAAGATGGACTTGTTTGTGCTTGCCTCGAGGGGCATGGCACAAAGGTGGCTCGAAGAATCAGGAATGTAATATGTTTTACATCACATTAGCTACTTTAAGTAATGCAATTGAGGAAAAAAAGAGATTGTGGGTTTTACATGCTTGAAAATGTTTTATATGTTTGATTTTATTTTTAAATTCATATTTGAATATGCTTTACATGTTATGTTTATGTATTTTAATTTTAGATATTAGGTTTTTTAAAACATTTATTTTAAAATTTAAAGTTTATATTTTTTATTAATATTATGTTTAATATTTTTTTATTTTTTTTTCAATTCTTTTGCATTTTTTTTCTTTTTCTGACATTTATTTGATTTTTTAGCATTTTTTTATTTTTGCACCTTGCTTCAAAAAGGCGTGCACCTCGCCTTGTGCCTTGGGCGCAAATTGACCCCTACGCCTTTTTTGCGCCTTGCGCTTTTAAAACATAGTCTCTAAAACTCCCAAAAATCTCATAGTGTTAGATTCCCCCAATATTTTAACTTTTTTTTGAGAAAGGTAAAGTATAATGTGTTAACTAAAACGAAAGTATACATGCATGGTCCTCTATGCAAAGAACACACAAGAGTAGACAAATTTTTAATAGCAGAAGGTGCAAGAAAAGCACAAGGTGTTTGCATGCACCTTTTTGAAGCAAAGTACAAATATTTTAAAACATTCAACATATTCAAACTATAACATAAAAATAATATTAATTCAGAAAAATGCAAACTTGAATTTTAAAAGAAGTTAAATGTTTTAAAAAGCTTATTGGCTCAAATTAAACTCCATAAGCATAACATATAAAACAAATTCAAACACTCAACAATTCAAGCATGTGAAACTTTCAATCAGTTTATTCTTTCCAAATTGCATTATGTCAAGTAGCTAATGTGACGTTAAACATCTTACATTCCTAATTCTACGAAATTGACCCTATGCCTCCATAAAGGCCCCTTGAGACAAGCCCAAACAAATCCAAGCAAGGGTTAGGAATCAAATATCCCATATAGGCCCCGTTTGTTTACCGGTAAATAAGATGGGGAAATATCCCATTGACCAACTTTACAGTGTTCTTCTTTGCATTAAGTATTGGGCCCCACGGTAAAGAGAGCTTCATTTACCTGGGTAAAACTAACCATCTCCCAAGTGGGTAAGTAACTTTCCCACCTGGGGGAAAAGTTTATAAAACATGATGGAACAAGTTTGCCCTTTTTAACATTAGCTTTTTATGGGTAAAAAGGTCATTGTATTACTTACCTGGGAATCAAAAGAACATGGGTAAATGAACTTACCCGGGTAAGTGTTACCCAAGAAACGTTTACCTAGGTAAGTGAACTTACCTGGGTAAGTGAGAAATTTGTAAACGAACGGGACCATAAGTTGTGTGATTTTAGTTGCAGTTCATTATATTTTAGGATTAGGAATCAAATGTTATTTGATGAAAAATGTCTTGTATTGAGAAGGATGATTAAACAACACCAGCAAAATGGGGTGGTTTGTGGGACACTTGCCTGGACTTGTTTAGGCTTGCCACAAGGAGCATGGACAAGGATGCAAACAAAGGCTTCAGCTATTTGAAAAGTCGATGGTTTCGTCTATTATAAAGTTGATGATAAACCAATAAACCATTACTAATCTACAAATCGTCTATTATAAAGTTGATGATAAACCAATAAACCATTACTAATCTACAAAAAGTATTAAATGGTAATTTAGAAGTTGAACCATCACAAAAATGTGAATCCACAATATATATAAAAGACCTGTTCATAGGCTAGACCAAGCTGGGTGGGATCTGCCTCTTTATTAACAGAAAATGATCAGGCCCGAGCCTGAGCCATCCAACCATTGGGCCTAGGTTTTGAGCTCAAGCCAAACCATTATATAAAGCCCAAAACCTGGCCCAAGCCCAAAGCCCAATCTGGACCATAGTTTTCAAGGCACCAAGGCAAGGCTAGACGACAGGGGTTGCCTTGTCGCCTAGTCACGTAAGCAGGCACCTAGGCATCACCTAGACGATGGATTTTTCTAAGTAAAAAATATATATTCTAGGGAAGTTACCTAGGTTCCACAATCATATTTCCTTAAGAATTATTCATAATTTTCGTAAGTATAAACTTCATGTTTGAAGGGATGAGATATCCATCGTATGGACGCCCAAATCTGCGGAATAAAGGGGGCGAATTTCAAAAAAAAAAATTTCTCTCCCTTCAACTGGGAATCGCATTCCCTATTTAGAAAATCATGTTTTCAATGATCATTCTTGAACCATAAACTGAACCAGATCTGAACCAAAAGGAGTAGGAGAGGAATATACCTGATACGGAGAAATAGTATTCCCCAACGAAGGTGCTCACGCCCAAGGAAGGATCCAAAGACTGCTCCCACTGAAAATGGCACAGTGCAGGATGGAACAGAATCAGCAGTATTCTTCTCCAAGAATTCTGTCCTTCGCAAGAAATAGCAGGATGGCACATGAGCACAACTTCCTATCAATTCTTTCTCAAAKAACTGATGTCAAGATCGAATCTTGACTTCTCCCACAACTGGAGATCGAACTGGCAAACAGGGGGCGGCAAGAACAGGGAGGCGGCAAGAAAGAATTCTGCAGGGTTGCTTAATTCTTTCTTCTGTGATTTCA